AATAAAAAAAACCTTAATTGAATTGTAAATTACTAGGTTTTCACCAGCGGTTTCGCTCGCGTTAATGTTCTAAATGCGCGACAAAAATCATTGACGACCACCTAATTTTTTCAGGAACAGTATTTTTTCTGAATAAATGGTACCCTGTGTCCTTTCTGTACCCCTGACAAAGTATGTTCAAAATTTCGTGACGGGTTTTACCCGCGGCTTCGCTTGTGTTGATATCTTAAATGCGTGTTAAAGATCATCGACGACTACATAAAGCTAATTTTTTTCTACCCCTCGGGAATAGTATTTTTTCTTTATAAAAAGTACTCTATGTCCTTTTCTGTACCCCTGGCAATGTATTTACAAAATTTCACCATAATGAGTTAAGTAGTTAAAGCGTTACATAGTATTAATTGGGATGCGGATAAGAAGAAGCAAACATACGACTAAAAAGAAAATAATACAGTAATACGTCTATTAGAAAAAGAAAACATTTTAATGTCTATATATATTTAAAAAAATTCTAATTGAAATAGTGGTCATGTATACCATATCACTATATGGTCATTTAAAATTTATTTTCTGTTTCCAAATGCCTTATAAAAACTTCGGAAACGAAATTAACGTATCTGTTTTGCAATTTGATCCAAAAAGGGTAACTAATAATAAACTAATTACTGATGTTAATTATTTCGAGTTTAGAATTTTTTACGGTCATTAGCGAATTACGGTAGCCCAACAAAATATGTTAACAACGCGTAAAATATGTACAGGAAATATACAGTAAGATATAAAAAATCCAATTACTCCATTAAATGAAATTTGTTCTACAATGCGTACTTACTACACTTTCATATAAAAAAAAGAACACCGTTGATTTGTTTCTTTGCAATAAATATAGTAATAAATATGTGGATATATAAATCAATGAATTTTAATGTTGGTTGTTTCTCTGCTGCCTGTACATGTACAGTTAATTATTCAGTTTAATTAGCATTATTATACATGCACATGTTTTACAGAAGAAAATGCTCTTTCACAGTCTGGTAAATTTTCGACCCCATGTAGGTACCATCGTGAGCGGTGATGCATAAAAAAACAAAAAAAATTTTGGTTCACATTACAAAAAACATTGCAGCTTACTTTGTAACGAAAAGAAGATTTAGGATACTTTTAATTTATTGTTTTTATCGATCAATAATACTAAGTGTAACCATGTAATGACTGTAGCCAAAAAATTTACAGAATCTAAACAAAATCATTTATTAAGTCTCATT